CGACTTTATAATGGAATCTTAGTTTAAACTTAAAGATTTGGTAAGAGACTGTGTTTTGATTTGGTGGGGTTTCTAGTGATTATTAATCCTCTTTCATGTGTTGTGTAGTTTACATCAATGGAGAAACAAGTTGAAAAGAACTTTACATGGGTGATAAAGAATCCCTCCTCTGTTTCATTTACCAGTTCTGATCCATTCACGATTGCTGGATGTAAATGGTATAAATAAAAACCAAACCTTTTATATTTTTTCTAATGTGTTTTCGTCTATTTATATGGTTTCTTGTTTTGATTGATTCTGCAGGCAACTTATTGCTTTATCCAAGGGGAATAACCTAGAGTTCTTCTATATGTATCGAGGTGTTGCCGATTGTCAATCGTTGCCTTGTAGATGGAGAAGACATGTCAAACTTCGCTTAAACATCGTTAATCGTCTATCTGAAAAGCTCTCTATAGTAACAGGTGATTATTCTATCCACAGTCTCTACTTGCTCTTTGATTCTCTAAGGATGTTTGATTTGAGTGACTGGTTTAGATTAGGTGTAGATATCGATGTTTAGGTCCTGTCTTAATGTAGTGCTCTATTGAGATGATATCTTGTGATTAATGGATATTGCAATGTGTTATCTTTGAGATGATACAGATTCAGAGCTTTACTTTGATGAGAAGTCTCCTATGCGTCGTTATCCAACCGTACTCCCTCCTTCTAATCTTCTTGCGAAAGATGGCGGATTTTTGGTGAATGGAGAAGTGAAGATTGTTGTTGAGGTAGTTGCTCATGAAGTTATTGGCACATTAGGTGAATTAGAGGATTCTAAACTTTTAAGCAGAATAGAGGAAAGTCATGGTGCTAAGTCTAATGATTTACTCAACAAGACTCGACAGATGAGTAAAAGTGTTGATGTCAATGGGTTTCAAGTTCTTCCTTCACAGGTAAGAAACTTAGGATAAGTCCTTTAGATTCTGGATTTAAGTTGCACAGTACAGAACTACTCTGTTTATGTTTGTGTTCAGGGCTCGTAAAACCTCTACGATATGTTTTTTTCCCATTGACAGGTAGAATCTGTGAAGCGTATATTTGAAAAATACCCAGACTTTGCATCAACATTCCGTTCTAAGAATCAGCATCTCAAGTCAACATACATGAATGTTCTCCTCGGACTTATCGAGACGTTGTGCCAGTCGCCTCAAGAGCTCTCTGATGATGATCTGGAAGAAGCATCTGTTGCAGTTTCATTCGTGGCAAAGGGAGGTTTTAAATTGGATTGGTTGGAGAAGATGCTCACAGAAGTAAAGGCAAAGAAGAAGAAAGTGGACTCTAGTAAGGCCCGGATGCGACAAATGGAAGAAGACTTGCAGAAATATAATCAGAAATGCTTAGAATTGAAAGCTCTACTAGAGAAGGAGAAAGAATTTATTTCAGCCGCCAGTGTTCCTCTCTTGTTCGATGATGCTGTTTGATGTTCCGAAACTTGTAGTTTAATTCTATGCTTGGTTAGTTGGTGTCGAGGGTTGTGTGTGTCTTGGCTCCAAAGCTTTTGTGGTACATTTGTAATGGAGTCTCTTAGTTTCGTTAAACAAATGGTTTATAGCTAAGTATTTTGTTTGTGCCTGAAAGGATAAACCTTTTTTGGTGAAAATGTAAAGGCTTGTGGAAAACTTAAACTGGAGTATCTTGTGTTCTGTTTTCAGGTCTGCTAATTCTGATGAAGCCAGAGGTTTTGTTCTCATATGTTCACATATTGTGTGGTTACATGGACTACAGATATGAGTCTTGATGATAAAAAGAAAGCTGATCTCTTTGAGTATGAACAGAGAGAGACAATGGAGTGACTTAGCATTTATTGATTCGTAATTATAATAAGAGTTACTTATCAATTAAAGTCGGGTTTTGGGGTAAAAGCTATATGCATTTCTTCTCGTTATTAGAGCAGCCACCTATGAGCTATGAGTAGCCGAAACGTTTCACATTCCTCTAGTGTTTGTACTAATCAACACGATTCCCATTCTGATCTTTTAAAACAGTGGCTTCTCTGTTTGGAGTAGTGCCTCTTGGAGAGTAAAGAGTATCCCTCTAGGGTTTGTTGTAGTACTAATCTACATTTACTTTTGAAACGGTGGCTTCTCTGTTGGAGTTGTGCCTCCTCTTTCAACGTGACCCTCAGAGTAAACACTAAACCCTTAATCTCCATTTTGGTTTTGTTGCTTCACACTGTTGTTGATTGTTCCACATACAAATTTGGGTGTGTATGTGTCTTTTGAGTTCTAGGGTTTCACTTATATATATATCTTCATGTCTTTTCTCTTTCAGTCTCTAGTAGTTTGGTTTGTGACTTGTGAGGAGTCTTCAATGGGGAACGAAGCTGATAACAAGTTCACTTGGGTGATTAAGAATTTCTCCTCTTTGCAATCTAAGCAAATCTATTCTGATACATTTGTGATCGGTGGCTGCAAATGGTAAGAAATGAAAACATGTTTTTCTAAATTCTAATGTTTTAGGATATCGATTATCTTGAATGGTTTTTGTTTGCAGGCGTCTTCTGGCCTATCCCAAGGGAAATATAGTTTGACTATTTTTCTCTGTTTCTGGACGTTGCTGATTCTGATTGCTTGCCTTCTGGATGGAGAAGACGCACAAAATATCGCCTAATTGTAAATCAGCTTTACGAAGAGCTCTCCGAAGTGCTAGGTGAATGCATCTGCGCTTGATACTTTATGATAATGTTTATAAGGCATACAAAGAAAAGTTCATATTCTTATGATCCATAGTGCTGCTGCAAGATTCTATTTATGTGTTGTGCAATGCTTGTTTTGACCATAGCTTCATCTTTCATGACTTTACAGTAGCACGAGAACAAAGGTTTGATAAAAAATCTCCCACCTGGGGTTTCCGAGTTATACTTCCCCTTACCGAGCTTCAGGCCAAAGATGGTGGGTTTCTGGTGAATGGAGAGTTGAAGATTGTTGCTGAGATTGATGTTCTTGAAGTTATTGGGGAGTTAGATGTATCAGAGGAAGCTGAGAGTTCAACACAACCTCTGAAAAAGATGAAGTTGAATGTGTCTAGTGTTGAAAGTGTTGATGTCAGTGGGTTTCAAGTTCTTCCTGCACAAGTAATAAACTTAAGATTTCTACTTAAACCTGAATAGAAGATATATATGTCCTTCAGTTTCTTGATTTAAGTTGCACATTACAAAACTACTATGTTTCTGTATGTGTTCATCAGGGCTCCTAATACCTCTCCAATCTGTTTTTTTTTTTTTTTTCCATTTCACAGGTAGAATCTGTGAAGCGTATATTTGAAAAATATCCAGACTTTGCATCAAACTTACGTTCTAAGAATCGGCATCTGAAGTCAACATACATGAATGTCCTCCTCGGACTAATTGAGACACTGTGCCAGTCGCCTCAAGCGCTCTCTGATGATGATTTGGATGAAGCATTCGTGGCAAAGGGAGGCTTTAGAGTGGATTGGTTGGAGAAGATGCTCGACGAAGTAAAGGCAAAAAAGAAGAAAATGGACTCTGGTAAGGCTCGGCTGCAAGAAATGGAGGAAGAGTTGCAGAAATATAAATCTGAAATGCTTGGAATTGAAAGTTCTTCTGGAGAAGGAGAAAGGAGATGTTTCGGCTGCTAGTGTTCCTCTCTCGTTTGATAATGCTGTTTGATGTTCATGTGTGTGTTTTTAAAGAAACTTTTAGTTGAATTTCTATGCTTGTTTAGTTGGTTTCGAGGTTGTTTCTTGGCTCCGAAGCTTTTCAGAAACTTTTAGTTTATGCTTTTTGTCTTGGCTCCCTAAACTCAGAACAGAGTTACTTGATGTGTAAGTAATTTCTTTATGGTTGAACAGAGTTGTAAACAAGACAATCCTTTCGAAATCTTAAATCTGAAATAAACAAAACTTTATATTCTAGCTTTTTATTTACTTATTTTAAATTTTGTTGGCCTTCTAGTGTTCCTTTTTGGATTAGCATTACCCTTCCAAAGTCGGTTGTTTTTCGGATGATGATCTGGATAAAGCATCCGATGCAGTTTCATTCGTGGCAAAGGGAGGCTTTAAATTGGATTGGTTGGAGAAGATGCTCCAAGAAGTAAAGGAGGACTCTCGTAAGGCTCGGTTGCGACAAATGGAACAAGATCTCCAACAAAAATAATCAGAAATGCTTAGAAATAGCTCTCGTTTGATGATGCTGTTTGATATTCCTGTGTTTTTGGAAACTTTTAGTTGAATTCTATGCTTGGTTAGTTGGTGTCGAGGTTGTGTCTTATGAAACTTTTTTCATAAGTAACCAATAGAGAAAACTAAAAAAATTTCTACATTATGGCTGGATATTGTTTTCATTAGTCCACATTAAAATCTCAAAAGCGAAGAAAATTCTAGAATAATGGAGAATAAGAAATAATTAGCGAATTTTTTTTGTAAGATCTAGCATCTAAACCATCACTAGTATATAAGTATGAGTATTTGGTGGCATTTGTAATATCAATCTAAAAAGAAAGCATCCAAGAGTGTCCATAATTTCACTTCAAAAAACAGTGTCCATAAACAAACAACTATTGTACTTATCTTTTTATTAATATAAAAAGAGTTAAGTTTGCATTTTTAGTTGTCTCATATCCCATCTTAATCACAAGGAAGAATATTAGATAACTTTTCCCAACAGTCATAGATGTACAAGATCGAAGTAACATAAATATACCAAGATAGGCAAATGGTATGCATGCGTAACCATGTCCTCAAAACTCTTGTCGATCAAAGTGCTTTTGTGAAGATATACTTGCAACTTGTTCAGCCGTGTTGTATTGTATTTTCAGAAAAGACACGAAACTATCTTGATCAATAACACTACGGTCACCATCAAAATCAATTGTTCTGCTATTTTACGAGTTTTTAGTTCAATTGTTTATAAATATTCTCATTATATAAGATTTTTTAAAGTTATTTTTGTTTGTTCCATTTCGTTTGGTTTTTTTCTAGTTTCAATGCAAAATTTAATGTGTTGTGCCGTATTTTTTTTATTCGTTGACTTGTTTTTAATTAGATATTAAATGATGTTTTCAATATAAAACCAGAAAACAAAATTTAAAATTTCTATTATTCTTAAACTGTGTGTTTTTATCTAGAAAATCTTATATAATGGAATAGATAGAGTATTATTCTTTTATTGTTGAGTTTTTTTTTTGTAGTTAAACTTAAATATTTGCTAAAAGAGTGTGTTTGGTTGGTTGGTTTGGTCTGTTTAATTATCTTCATGTGTTGGTTTCATTGATATGAGTAATCTTGATCATCATACATCAATGGAGAAGCAAGTTGAAAAGAACTTTGTATGGGTGTTAGAAGAATCCTACCTCTATTTCGGTTACCAATTATGACCCATTCCTGATTGTTGGATGTAAATGGTGAAAAAACAAACCTTCTATATTTTGTTTTCTAATGTGTTTTTTGAAAATTCATATTGCGGTGATTCAATTTCCTTATTGCATTATCCAAGAGAAATATTCTCGAGTTTATCTAAGTCGACCATGGTCTGCTTGAAATGGCCAAACATCCCCTTGGAACATACCA